ATTAATGCTCCATACTGTCAAGGAAATGTTACAGGATTTGGGGAAAATGGTGGACAACGATGTGTCGCAATGAGTCTGTGCGCTTTAATTTACACTAATATAACAAAGATTACTTCCGTTGATCATATGACTCAAATAATGATTGTTGGTATTCAATTATATTCTTGTCTGTCACTGCTTGCAAGACAATCTATGTCAATGTTAACAGAAATGTCAGGAATGGTTACAGTGTTTGAGCAACTTTTCCACCTTGAATACAGTGACAGTTATACTTGTAACATCCATCACTACTGTATATGCCACTCACAGGTTACAGCATTTGAAATACTCTTGGCACTGAACTACAACTCATTCATTTTAACGGTTGCAATTATTGGTATTGGTATCTACAGCATTGAGGCTGGGGGATATAATGCATTTGATTCTCATGCTAGAGATATGTATCATAACAGTCGTAATGAAGGGACATGTGTATTGTTGGAAATACCATCCATGCATAAAATAGTACAATATTTTCAGACTCTACATAGGAATGAGGATATATATGAACTTAAAGGTGTACATACTGCCACCTTTGAACCTCATCTTTTCTCAAGCAATGTTGAAAATTGTAGGATATCAAATGCCAATAGTTACCGAATGTTCCTGTTAACAGTGCTGCCCTATAGCAGTTTATGCAATGTGTTACTCTGTTATTAATCCTTGTGGATACTGGACTTAAGGAACTTTATTTGCCCATGTTAATAACCGGAATACACTGTACAAAGTGATGGGTGTGAAAACACATCTGTCAGTATCAGTGGAGCTGAGATAAACCTTACTCTCTGGGCTGTAACCACTTATGTCCTATGTTGTGATTTGGCTCCAAGCATGTCTGCATTGAAGATGTGCATATTTTCAAACATTGTCGTGAAATGACACTATATTTGTTGTGTATTGGGACATACTGTATAAGCTGGGTCGTTCAGCAAACAAGTGGAGTAAAGGATTTGTCATCTCTGGTAAGATATTTACTGCAATAAGGCATGTTCAAAGTATCATACCCGTAGTACGACTACGCCCAAATATACGCTTACACAGCGTCTTGTTGTCTTCCTCTTTCTATTTTCCTGTTCTCTCGTACCCATAACGTATTACACAAAAAACCTATTTTGCATCTTCAGGCGTTCATGTGCTCGTACAAACAGAGAATACTACCCGACGCGTTAGCGGATGTGTCTGACAAAAATAGTGAGATCGTTCCCTTGTCATTGTCTTGCTCGTCGAAAACTCCCGTGCAAAGCGTGCACATTAATACGTAAGCTCAGACATCTGTGCACTCATTGAAATGCTCTGAATGGCTCGGCCTACTAGAGTGCAGCTGGTCTTATTTTCCCAGTGAATACACTATTGCTTTTTTCATTCTTTGATTTTGTTTAGATATCACTGTTAAGTTTGAAATTTCAGTTTAACCGACCGCACTCCTTAACTTGGATATTGAGTATCAAAATGTGGACCTTTGGGGCCTGTGGGGGGGTGCGAACGCACCCCGTGCACCCTCCCTGGTTACGGGCCTGTAACGCAACTCAGTTTGGCCATCATTCGTGCTCAAATTTTGGAGGTTTACAGACCTGATGAGCGACGAGTATGGGTCTTGTGAATATCTACAAGAGGAGGGCTAGGAACAGCCCAAGCTTTGTAAAATACACCCAGTTGACACAGGTGCCGACACGCAGCGCATCAAAAATAGATGGAGGGGTAAAGCATGGTTTGCCCTGTACAGGAACATTCAAAGAACTATTCCGCAAAAGCAACTGCTGGCAGGAGTTTTAAATATGTGGCGTAGGCATTACGGTGAAGTTCTCTTTGGAAGCATGATAGTAAAGCATATCGTCGAACTTTGTAATGACATTGGGAACGGCGCCTAAAGGGCTAAATAAAACAGACAGATCAGACGTAGGGGGAGACGGTGGAAACTCGAAAATATAGTTCAGGAAAAAAGGAAACTCTGAGGAATAAGGTAGTCTTTTATTTTACTTTAGTTGTTTATTAAACCCTGTGTTACGATCGATGGATAGTTTACTCAACGCCACTAATTACATTGATAATCACTATCTCTGGGGTCATTATAAAGTTGGGTTTCGGAAAGCGAAAATAGTGCGAAATTTGTTCCCATAAGTTCTTATTTTAGTGCAAAAAGCGCCAAATTTAGCGCGTTTCAAGAAAGACTTAGAAAAAAAATTAAAAATTTCTAAAACAACAGCTGAAATCCCAAAGGGTTAGTATTGTTCTGTCTTTTGTTTTCTTTAAACAATGAACGTATGCATAATTAATGTATTGGGTTAGACGGAAATCTTGCCTAGGAATGTCCAGAAAAAGACAACTTGGCAAGGTCAAGCTTCTGAAGATTTAGGAAAAACCAATTAAGCCAATTAATGTAAGATAACAAACAAATGTCGTTAAATTTACCACAACTAATTAGATTAAGAACCTCTGGGTGGGTTCAGTTTAAACAAAAAGCATCATTTCTTAACTGAATAGCGGCACGTGTGCAAAGAGAAACCGACGTCCAAAAGAGCATCTTTACATAGAAAGGCCAAACCTTATTAACGAAAAACAAATAGCCTTTGTAAGCCCAGTACATTCTAGTAGAACGTATTCATATAACAATTCAAAACACTCTACTCAAATAATAATGATAATAATAAAAAGATATTAAAATAGCAATTAATTACAATATATCAAAATAGCAATGCTTGATGATTCATTAACGTTCATTATTCGATAAAGGTATTTTCATTTTGGTACTAACTTATACCCAAAAATATCGTTTTACAACATTAGAGTAAACACTTTGAGGGAAAACTATGTCTGCAACTATAAACACTATTAATTACAAAAAGACTCTAAAAAACAATTTTGCAGTAAACGTAAGTAGAAAGGAGAAAAACTGACTGTATTTCCTGTAGGGTAACAGTAAATGTAAAAAACGAATTAACTGTCTTCCTATCGAAATTTGTCCGGGGGAATCGAGCTGACTAAAAGTCAAAATTGCAAAAATTCACCGACACAGCTGGCGCTGAAGCGATGCGTGAGCAATATAGATGCTGTTGTTTTACGACCGTTCTCTGAACTACTGTTATGAAATAATAAACAGAGAAGTCATTTTTTTTTGAAAAATTTATTTGAAAAACCAAATGCACTCCAATGAAATTCGCCTTACAATTCCAGCCAAGTATGTCCGTAACTCAACTAAAATTTTTAATCGATACGATGAAAAGCACACATTCCAACAAAAAAATTGCTTGAATTTAACATCAGCTCGACTTAAAAGTCAATAACAATGCTAATTGATAAATTTCCCTTTCAATACAGACTTTCTCTTCTATGACAAAACACAAAATGTACCTTAATTTCGGGCTTTAAAAATCCTCAAAAAAAAACTGACCTCACTCGGTTTTTCTTCTGCCGATCCTGAGGAAAACAGTGATAAATTCATCCGGGGCCAAATAATTGCTTGATTTTTTCACTTTTTTCTTCAAAACGAAAACTGAGTATTTTCTTCAACCTCTCTACTTTTCATTTTTACATTTCATCGGTGCATTTTACCAATAGGAGAGGAGATTTGCTGAATTTGCCTCAATTTTTACCGCGCTAGCTCAGTTTCTTGGCGTGCACCCACGGGCAAATAGTATAGATGCCGAACTGACAAATCAGAGCGCGCGCTTTACTTATGTTATGTTGGTATACTAGAATACCGTTAGGTCACGCATTGTAAGTCCGGCAATATCAGGGCAGATTGTTGTGAGCAGTCAACAGCCGAATAATTTTAGCGAAGCAGAAGTCACAAGAAGTTTTTCTTACCTATTAATTTTGTTCGCCAAAGTGTAAGAAAATCTTCTGAATTTTTTCATGTCTCTGCATGTGTTCAACGTAATGACGGCGTACCTGGGTCGGGCGTAAGAATGTCAGTTTGTAGGCAAGAGAGGATAAAGGGGACAGAGAAGGCATCCTTCATACACCCCCTATTCCATAGGTAATTCGTCTCGAGTTATTTTTAGAATCGAGATAAAGTTACCTCGCGCGCTGCGTGGGGGTTTCGTGAAGGTTTCGCATGACTAAACGCCGTGCAAAACATGTCGGGCGAAAGGCAATGAAAGCGTAAAGAGATCGAGAGCATTCCTGAATATTGAAGCGAAATGAGTCGGCGCTCATCTGGGAAAAGGGAATCGCTGGACTCTTTGACAACCCGTGAAATAAGTTTAACTCGAAGTTGTCGTAACCTCAGTGCTTTAATAAAATGAAAAATTTCGCCGGTCTATTGAAACCGGTCGTTTGTTCAATAAAGCAAGTAGGTCACGCCATCACAATAAAAACAACTTATTATTTTCTGATTATTTTCTTATTTATAGTTTGGTCTTTAACGAGAGAAGTTTGACATTTAATATTTACTAGGACAGAGAAGAAGGGCGATTCTTTTTTTAATTTCCGTTTCGCTGACACAGCTTTAGCAGAAATCTCTCTGTAGTCGTTTTCGTCGACAAAACGAATAGCAATATCGCTCTCCGCGTCTCCCGCCAGTTTGTTCTTCGTCAATTCGTGAAGGACGCGTGGCTCTGAGGGTGCGTCATCCACGCGGAACACATTCGCGCTATGTGATTAGCTGCTGTCTAATCCCCCTTGGGATCTGTGGTCTTAAAAATAACTCGAGACGAATTACCTATGGAATAGGGTGTGTATGAAGGATGCCTTCTCTGTCCCTTTTATCCTCTCTTAAAAAAACAATTATTGAATTTGGCTTTCGCAGGATATGAAGAAATCAGTTCTGCAGATCTCCTCGATCTGCAGAATTCTTCATATCCTACTCAGCCTCATTCAATAATCGCTAAACATATCTAGCCTAAACTGCCAATAAGTACCCCAACAAGAACCCTACAAGAACCTATTATACTGTGACATTTCTCTACAGAGAAATGACCTCACATCTCAAGACACTCTTTTTCTGAATACAATTTTGAATCCTAGGATACTGAACAATTATTCCAAATATTGTCAGCTAAAGTGACCCTGACTGTCGGTTTGGCCACACCATTATCATCAACTATAAACTCCACCGTAGCGTAGGCTGTTAATGCCCACCTCTCCCTCAATGCTTCCGCCACATCATCTGGGGCCCGCCAAGCTCTGTTGTTATTCCAAAATCTCGCGTCACCTTGCTCATAAGAGATAACGCCATTACAAATTCTAGTTGATAACAAGACAGTTCCACTTGGAGGGGAAGCTGGTGATGAGCCTGTTGTAAAAATATATGTATACATGTGAGAAAAAGAAAAAAATTTTTTTGTTAGAGGGGGAGGGGAAGGGTGCCGCAGAAAACACTCGTCTCCTTCAATGTGTGTGGGTTCGGATCTTAAAGGTTATGTCGTAAGCTGTGTACACGAGCCACCCTCCTCTTCCTAAACAAAACCTTCCCTGTACCCGATAAAGGGTCGGAAAGTTGGGGGGCGGAGAGTGGAGTGGGGCGGGGAGAGGGACAGAGGTAGCAATGCCATATCCGGGCTAAGTTTGTTGTTTGTTGTTTTTTTTCCGGGTAAGTGTAAGACTGTACATGTACACCAGCCCTTTTGTTTCTTCACTTTTGTCTAGTTTTTCGTAAGACCGGTACATGTGGCCGTTCCTGGCCTTTTCTTATCAGTCTTGCCAAAAATCACGTTTCCTCCATACCATATTGTTTGACTATTTTTGTCTTATTGGTTTTCATTCTTTTTGTTTGTTTTGTTAAATTTGTTTGTTCAATAAGTCAGTTTTTTAATGTCTGTTCTGATTTTCGATTCTTCTGGGTTTGTGTTTCTTGTTGTTTTGTTGTAGTTGTTATGCTTCCCCGTTGTGCAGTTTTACCTGATTATTCTGTTTGTAATTTCCAGTTAAGCTAATTCATTTTGAAATTGTCACATCGTTATAACTCACTAATAAAACATTGTAGAAAAAGTATTCTTGTACGCCATTTTGCCGGAAAAACTGATCATTATCCATGTTTCCCTGTCCTGCCTCTATGATATCTCAGATACCTTCAGCGCTAGCTTGTCTTCTTCCATCGGTCGTCGCAGGTTGCGATGAGGAGGTTGGCATACTTCTTGCTCTCCTCTGTCTTCTATGGTGAGTAGGTTCTACTTGGACATTGGCGGTTTCTTCAGCCTAAAATGCACGTAAAATCATGAATGCGAAAAAAACTTTGCGAACTCCAAGCAAATTAAGCATTGAGGTGATGAGGAAGAGAAAGGAGCGGGAACGAGCTCTGCCTAAACACCCCACCAGGCGCGCGAGAAATCTTGGGAAGTATATACTGCATGCGCGACTTGTGTCTCTGTTTATCACGCGGTAGTGGCGTCTAAGGAATGATGCACAAATAAATTTTTAACTTACCCCTGCGACGTTTTCTGTAGGTTGGCTTCTCTGTTGGTACTCAAACTTTTGTCCTCTTTTGCTTCGATCAAAGTAATGTAACAGTGCTTCTTCGTGAATTTGTCTGTGAGCATCGTCCCAAGAGAAGATGAAACTCTGCCTTCCATCGATGAATTTTAGTGGAAACTGGGTTTTGATGGCGTTGAACGCGGATTGTGAAATGAACTTATTTTGTTTTTCGTCTCTGGTCGCGTACTTCTTGTCCCCACCAATCACAACTAACACATTGTCGGCTGCAAAACAGAATACTTCACTCTTTAATTTGCTAGAATTTCTTTAAAATAAACAAACTAGCAAGTCAAACAATTCATTGATGCAGCTCGTATGTAATCTGGGTGATAGTTCGAGTAAAATACCACCTGATTTTGCTGCAACAATGTTCGAGGCCAATAGCTCAGCTTATACCCGGGGAATTAAATAAACACAGGATGGTTTCCTTAACATTTCTTGGAAAACACACTCTAAAGGTCACTTTCAATTCTTTGAAATCACTTTCAAACAGACTGCTTTGTAATAAGTTTTAGTTTCGCATCGAACAGACAGCAATATTGATGACTGACAGCATAAACGTCGTTGTAAACGGCTTTAAACTAGGAATTTCAAAGATCGCACAACACAATGCACCAGAGCCATTACAATTTAGTTGGTTCAAAGCAATTAGTAATTACAATTTTTGAAAAATTCTTTTCATTCTCTAAAATCACATACCTGAACCGATTTTTTCCGTTAATGCTTTATATATCTTTCCGTAGCAGTCTTCATTGAACGAAAGCTGATCATTTGCATGCACCATAAACACAGCGTAGTCCATTCTCAAGTTAGGAATTGTTTCTTCCGCCACTGTACTAAAGGCAGTCGTTTCGCTTCCAGTTCTAAACGGTTGCTCCCCAACTTTAATCTTGAAATCAACTCTTCCCTCCACTGAACGCAGAAGCGTCGTCACCTGACCTAAATTACAGGTTTTATCGCAGTTAAAAAGGTAAAAATACTTTGTAGATTGTTTGGTGCGCCTTGAACAGCTCGCCATGTTTATGAAATTGTTACTTTCGTTTTCAATTTAAGTCCCGGATACACGGAAGTGGTAAATTTCCCGGAATCACGCGAGATTTCTTTCGCTGGTCACGCGACACAAGCCTTATTGGTAAGCGGCTGGAGTTTAGGAAATGCCAAAGTTTAAGTGAAGTTTCATGTATAAAAATGATATGTATCGATTATGCAAAGACAAGATGGTAAATCAATCTACAAGCTTTTTAGTTCCGCTCTTCGACGTAGAGAGATGCACAGTTTAACAAAAGAAATGCACCAACGTCCTTTATGTTGTTGACATGCACTAATGTGCTTTATCACTTGCAACAACATTTCTGATATCAATTCGTTTACATCACCTTTACGTCAACAGTTCATAGTTGTCGCTTTTCAGAAGTATATGTTACAAAATGCAATTGGCTAATATAAGGGATACATGCACTGCGATTTTACGAATAGATGCCTTTTCTTATTCATTCCAAAACTAAATATTCCTCCGTTACGGATTGGCTCCGATTCGCCGGAATAAATATCCCGAACCATTAGCAAAATTTGTTGGAATGATGTCAATTACACAGAAAATGGGCAGAAAAGGGTACGTCAAACCATGAAGCCCCTTGGAACGAGGTCAGGCGCGATAGCTCAGCTGTTTCGGTCGGCTGGAGAAAATGGCGGAAAGTTTTACACGTATTGAGAACTTTTGCCTAAAGCATACCAAGAACAGCAAATAGCAACTCGACACGCTGACAACTGCCGTTTGAAGACTGCTGTGTAACGCCCCTCTAAATCCTGAATTTGCCGTGGAACAGACACAAATAAAGACGGGGACAAAGTTAAGTCAATCGAGGTAAGCATATATATATATATAATATTGAATATCTTGAATATCTTGAATGATGAAAGAAATTATTAGACTCGGCTTTTAGCCTTATCCAAAAATGGCTAGTGATAAATGAACTTATAATAACGGCCTCTGAACCTATTAGCGCACCAATCTCATAAGAGACCAAGGCAGCGAACCAGGTACTAAGATACACACTTTACCATGCAGTCTTTGACTTACTGGAATTCCGACTATTGAAAACTAGTCTTTACGAGCAGAAGCACAAAACCTCTAAAAAAAGCTGAAGAAGCTAGAGAAGATACGCATAAAATCCCGACGAACTTGTCATTCTTGAAATTGGCTAACCCCAATGAGATTGGCATTGAAGAATTAACTCAGCACAAATGCTTTCTAATCCTAGCGCCTTGTCAGCCTTAATTAATGCCTGAAACCCTAAAATTCCATTAAACTCAATGTCCTTGATGTTGCTTTGAAGTCACTTCCGCAAGTTCAAGCCGGGATAACAGAAGTGAGGTCTGCTTGACGTCCCCTGAATGAGGTTTCTTTCCATCAACTGTTTTCCGATCGACTCGGAATCTTTTACAAGCATTTTTAGACTGATCGATCATTACCGCCTCGCGTTTATCGACCATGTCGTTTCCTGTAAACAGTAAACTATCTGTCTGGATGATTAAACTTGTGAATTTACTTCACTTTCATGATATTCTTCGCATTGTACATGTGATTGCAGTATGATTGTATGATTCATAAGTGATTGATTGTATGATTCATGGACACTCCCTTCAGTTGTTAAATAATTCAGTGTGTATCACGGGTGTGGATCATCCCTTACTGTTTCGTTACACATGATCGAGATGTGTTGAGGTATCATTTTCCAACACGGACATTTTAAAAGGCCTTCCTCTCGCCTCATATTTACCACATCGCAAATCCTTAATCACAGTTTTCCTGCTTCCTAAAAATGGCTTTGGATGGCATCTTCTTGTGGAGAACTGGCTTTTTCTTTCTTTTCTTTACCTACGGATTCTCTTCATCTGCAGGTCAGTTTAAAAAAAAATTAAAACCGTCTGCTGATTTTCAGATAAAAATACATTTTGACCTAGCTATATAGGTTTACGTTTTAACTGTACGTCCTAAGAAATTTATAAAAAAAACCTATGTACAAATGAGAATGAAATATTTTATTCGAGTTTATTTCGCAGTAAAACAAACTGAATACGAGGAGACCATTTTGTGTTTTCTGTAGCTGTCCCAAAATTCATACGGTAGCCTAATTTGTGATCCGTTTAGCTTTTTGAAAACA